CACAGCATCAGCAGTCTCAGCATCAGTAGTCACAGCATCAGCAATCACAGCATCAGCAGTCACAACATCAGCTGCCACAGCATCAACAATCACAGCATCAGCAGTCACAGCATCAGCAATCACAGCATCAACAATCACAGCATCAGCAGTCACAGCATCAGCAATCATAGTATCAGCAGTCACAGTATCAGCAGTCACAGCATCAACAATCACAGCATCAGCAATCACAGCATCAGCAGTCACAGCATCAGCAGTCACAGCATCAGCAGTCACAGCATCAGCAGTCACAGCATCAGCAGTCACAGCATCAGTAATCACAGCATCAGCAGTCACAGCATCAGCAGTCACAGCATCAGCAGTCACAGCATCAGCAGTCACAGCATCAGCAATCACAGCATCAGCAGTCACAGCATCAGCAGTCGCAGCATCAGCAGTCACAACATCAGCTGCCACAGCATCAACAATCACAGCATCAGCAGTCACAGCATCAGCAATCACAGCATCAACAATCACAGCATCAGCAGTCACAGCATCAGCAATCACAGTATCAGCAGTCACAGCATCAGCAGTCACAGCATCAACTATCACAGCATCAGCAATCACAGCATCAGCAGTCACAGCATCAGCTGTCACAGCATCAGCAGTCACAGCATCAGCAGTCACAGTATCAGCAATCACAGTATCAACAGTCACAGCATCAGCAGTCACAGCATCAGCAGTCACAGCATCAGCAGTCACAGCATCAGCAGTCACAACATCAGCAGTCACAGTATCAGCAATCACAGCATCAGCAGTCACAGCATCAGCAGTCACAGGATCAGCAGTCACAGCATCAGCAGTCACAGCATCAGCAGTCACAGCATCAGCAGTCACAGCATCAGCAATCACAACATCAGCAGTCACAACATCAGCAATCACAGCATCAGCAGTCACAGCATCAGCAGTCACAGGATCAGCAGTCACAGCATCAGCAGTCACAGCATCAGCAGTCACAGCATCAGCAGTCACAGGATCAGCAGTCACAGCATCAGCAGTCACAGGATCAGCAGTCACAGCATCAGCAGTCACAGCATCAGCAGTCACAGCATCAGCAGTCACATCATCAGCAGTCACAGCATCAGCAGTCACATCATCAGCAGTCACAGCATCAGCAGTCACAGCATCAGCAGTCACAGCATCAGCAGTCACAGCATCAGCAGTCACAGCATCAGCAGTCACAGCATCAGCAGTCACAGCATCAGCAGTCACATCATCAGCAGTCACAGCATCAGCAGTCACAGCATCAGCAGTCACAGCATCAGCAATCACAGCATCAGCAGTCACAGCATCAGCTGTCACAGCATCAGCAGTCACAGCATCAGCAGTCACAGCATCAGCAGTCACAGCATCAGCAGTCACAGCATCAGCAGTCACAGCATCATCTGCGAATTAGACACATACAACACAAGGGTATCTTTGTTATAATTTTATTCAGTACAGAGGCTATGTGAAGTGTTGAAATTCAAGACAGTAGAAGATAAGGTAATGAGTCCCTCACCCATGATAAAAGTGCTCACCCCCGTAGTCTGTATAAATCTAATTCATATCTTAGGTAAGAGTCTTCAGGAAATTGGACAAGTGTTTCCTGAGGCGGGTCTTAGTCATATGATGACCCGCAGCTGGAGATTTTGGTCATCTGACCGAGGTTTCCACTGGCTTACCCCTCCACCCCTTTAAAAATTAGTATTAATAATCTTTTAAAACAGGAATATGGCCGCTTATATAGCAGTCAGATGAGGTGTAGCAGGTAAAGGCATCGTGAAAGTGAGCGGGTCCCACTAGTGGTAGGTCATGCCAGCAGGTTAGGTTCCAGGCTACTGCTGTAAAGTGAATCATAACGTTTTTTTCGCCTTCAAATACAATAGAGCTAAACCATACCCTAGGCCTAAAAAATGCATATATGGTATATACATTACTTACCTTCATATATTCTCATCCTTAGCTTAGAGTGAGTGGTAAATATATTTATTATTTATTGTAGGAAGTCTGAATAAATGAAGAATGGGTATAATGGAAAACCGCTGTATTAGCAAAACATTGTAAAACGAAGCGCTGTAAAGCGGGGTCTGCCTGTACACAGGAGGACCCTGACTCATCCCTCGGGTATGACCTACTTCCACTTGGGAACCCCACCCACCAGTGACAGTGTCTTCGTCTGCTGCACCACCAACATCTGACGCCAGTATATAAGCACCAATCTTCCTGGCTGTACTTCAGAGTCTTCAAGACTAAGGTGCTCTTCACCAACTCCAAGGCTGAGGGACTGATTACCTCATCTTTTGTATAGAGTTCTCCTGTCTTCACATCATGTCCTTGAATTGATAAAGTCACTGGATGGCGAAATATCTACAATAAAGATACCCAGATGTTGCACATGTGTCTAATTCTTCATACTGTCGGTATCGTATACCGTTCATAAACATGACTCACTTCCACTAGTGGGCCCCGCCCACGGAGACCATGCCTTCAGCTGCTGCACTTCATCTTGCTTTTATATAGCCCACCATCCTCATACCCATACTAAGGAATAAATGGTTATAATCATAATCATAATATTTAAAGGGGTGGAGGGGTAAGCCAGTTTAAGGCCTCGGTCAGATGACCCAAAGCTCCAGCTGTGGGTTATCATCTAAGACCCGCGTCAGGAAACACTTGTCCTGTTTCCTGATAAATCTTACCCAGCCCAACCTAACCTACCCATATTACAAAGGTGAGTACTTTCATCTAGGCTGAGGGGCTGACTGCCTCACCTACTGTCTCCAATTTCACTACCTTCACCTCTGTACTGAATTCATAAAGACACTAGTGGTCAAAACATCATAACAGACATTACAAGTGTCGGTACTGCATGTCATTACTACATTGTAATACTTTCCTGAATACATGGCAGATCTACATCTCCATAATTTAATTCAAATTTTAATTGCTCTCTTAAGGGGCACGTAAGATCCCCCGTCTTCTAATAACATGTTCATTTTTTCCACTATAATCTACCTTGTCCATAATTACTATCACATTTGCTTTGTTTCGTAAGGTGAAGTCCAGGATCTTTACTTAAGTCATGGTATAACTAAACAAATCTTTGAGGACAACTGTGTTGCAGAGGTCTGAGCTCAGCTCAGATAAACATGATGTTAGGAGACAAGGAAGCCTCACTGGCCTCTTAACTTGTATAAAAGCGCACCCTTGAGGGTGAACAAGGAAATAATGGTGACTGTACTAAGATCTTCACAGTACAACTGGTAGATAATACAAATTTTAAGGGTGAAAAAATATACAAGTGGTTGGAAAAGATCTAGGGGTTGTGTCAACGACCTGGTTGTGTCAACGCCCTGAGTGATTTGTGTCAACGACCAGGTTTGCAACGACCTGATGAGTTGTAAACGACCAGAGTTTGTAAACGACCTGGTGGTTGTGTCAACGACCAGAGTTGTGTCAAGACCTGAGTGATTGGTCAAACGACCAATTGTGTCACGCCCTGATGAGTTGTGTAAACGACCAGATTTGTTCGCGCCCTAGGATTTGTGTCAAGACCGAGTTGTGTCAACGCCCCTGATTGTGTCAACGACCTGAGTTGTGTCAACGACCTGAGTGAGTTTGTCAACAAACCAATTGGTCAACGACCTGAGTGATTTTGTGCAACGACCAGAGTTGTTGTAAACGCCTAGTGATTTTGTGTCAACGACCAAGTTTGCAACGACCTGAGTAGTTGTGTAACGACCAGATGTATCACGATTGAATGATTTGTGTAAATAATTAGAACAATATAACAGATTCAGTGCCGGGAGAATGAAAGTGACCGGTCTCAGGGGGGGGGGGTAAATTTTAATCATGTCACCCAAACTTCGCGTCTATAAAGAAAAATTTTTTAAAAACCCCAAAAGTGCGCGTCTGGGGGCGGGATTCTATTGGCCTTGGCCAAGGCCCCTCGATCCCCTCCCCTCCTCCCTTTCCCCTCGTCCAGATATCAATTGTCCTGCCGTTTTTCTCCCCTTCGAGTGTTTTTAAAAATTTAATCCTCTTAATTCATTCTTTAATTTACGGCCACCCTGAATCCCTTTAAATTTTCCCCAAAGCATCGAGGGTAATGAGATTTTCGGATGTAGATCACTAGTGGAAATGGACTGGTGCTCTGTGCACCGCCTCCTCCGCCATATTTAATCCCTAAATGCGGTGAAATAAAGCTTTTTTTACTAATATACACAGGTTGAATAAGTGGCTAGGAAGGCATTACAGCCGGTGGCTGGCCTGGGATGGCTTAATCTCACGTGAAAAGGGGTCAAAGCCAGAGGAAACCCAGGTCGAATTGAAATGCAGATACCGACGAGAGTCTTTTGTTTTCCCCGCGCGACGCCATTTGCATTTCTTTTGTTTTTAGAAGTTCTCCAGCGCTTCATTGATTTTTAGTTCCAGTGGTGGCTGAGTGTCCCTGGTGTCCCTGAGCCCTGCTGAGGTGTGTCCCTGAGGCCAGCTGAGATGTCCCTGAAACCAGCTGAGGTGTCCCTGATACCGTCTAAAATGTCCCTATAGCCAGCTGAGGTGTTCCTGATACCGTCTGAAGTGTCCCTAAAACCAGCTGAGGTGTCCCTAAAACCAGCTGAGGTGTCCCTGATACTGTCTAAAGTGTCCCTATAACCATCTGAGGTGTCCCTGATACCGTCTGAAGTGTCCATAAAACCAGTTGAGGTGTCCCTGATACTGTCTAAAGTGTCCCTATAACCAGCTGAGGTGTCCCTGATACCGTATGAAGTGTCCCTAAAACCAGCTGAGGTGTCCCTGAAACCAGCTAGTGTTCTTAAAACCATCTGGTGCCCCTGAAACCAGCTGAGGTGTCCCTGAAACCAGCTGAGGTAGCCCTAAAACTAGCTAGTGCCCCTGAAACCATCTGGTGTCCTTGAAACCATCTGAAGTGTCCCTAAAACCAGCTAGTGTCCCTGAAACCAGCTGAGGTAGCCCTAAAACTAGCTAGTGCCCCTAAAACCATCTGGTGTCCCTGAAACCAACTGAAGTGACAGAAAAGACACTGGATACGAGAAACAAACTAAAAATATAAATTTGTATAAAGAAATGAGTGAAAGAGGGCGAAGAAAGAGTAAACAAACAAGGAGTTGAAAGAATGGAGAGGTGAGAGATGATGATAATGGGACAGAGAATGAGAGAGGAACAATATAATAATGATAATTGTGAAGAGGACCAGAGAAGGACAATAATAATGAAGTTACAATTACGAAGAAGAACTGAGGGAAAAATGGAGAGAGAAATGAAGGAATTAGTAGAAGAGGTGAGGAAAGAATTAGAAGAAGAGGAAGAACTGAGAGAACAGAATGAGAGAGACTAAGGAGGAATAAATGATGGGAAAAGGGAAGTGATAAAAAAGAAACGGGGAAACAGAGAGAAGACAAGAAAACAAAACGTTTTGGAACAGCCGGAAGGGATGAAGATGCTAAGGAAAGAAGACAGGAAGAAGAAGAAAGAAGTAAGATGCTGGAAAAGATGAGAGTTAACGAGAAGTCGAACCATGAAGCAAGACTGGCTGGGGGAGTGATTCCCTCAAAGCTCGGCTTCACGTCTTCCACAGCCTGTGTGTTGCACTGATGACACTACTGGTGGGCGAAACGTCTCCACAATAAAGATACCCACAGTGTTTCACATGTGTCTTATTCACATACTCAGGATACACAAATAACCCGCACATAGAAGAGAGGAGCTTACGACCACGTTTCGATCCGACTTGGACCATTTACAAAGTCACACTAACGAAAAGAAGAGAAAGAGGGGTATATATAGCCAGGAGGTGGTAGTAGTAGTAGTAGTGGAGGTAGAAGGTCGTAGTAGTAGTGGGGAGGTAGAAGGTCGTAGTAGTAGTGGGGAGGTAGTAAGGAAGAGGAGCCAGTCAAATACTAAGAAAGAGGAGCACTGCAACGGAGCTAGGTGCCCACAAGGGAGCTAGGTGCCCACAAGGGAGCTAGGTGCCCACAGAGGGTAAGAGCAAGAACACCGAGGGGGGGGGGGAATAAATAATAAAGGAACAAATACACAAGGCAGAAGAAAGACAACCTAAAGGAGAAAAAGGAAAGAGGAAAGGGGAAGAGGGAGAAGAAGAAAAGGAGGAATCAGGTTAAGTCACAGGTGTTCTGAAGTTTGGAGCATTTTACAATGTAGTGGGAGAGGAAGACATCTACAGAGACGAAACCAGGACTAAGATTCATACAAGGAAAGTTGTGTATTAGAGAGGATTCAACTAGACGGCGACTGTTCGAGTTGGAAGTAGGGAAGACAGTTTTAGCAGAAGACCAGTCAATAGGATGGCTATGATCTCTGACGTGACAGAAAAGAGCATTGTTAGTGTCGGCAAGCCTAACACTATTTTTGTGCTCCCTAAGTCTGTCAGAAAGAGATCGACCAGTTTCTCCGAAGTATTGAAGAGGACAGGAGGAGCAAGAAATAGAGTAGACACCAGGAACATCTGTAGAGGGAGGAGAGGTATGAACGAGATTAGTGCGAAGAGTGTTAGTCTGGCGGAAAGTAAGTTTGATGTCTGAGGAACGGAGAGAGTTATTGAGATTAGAAAGACCGGAAATGTAGGGAAGGAAGAGGACAGAAGAGTTCCCAGGAGTAGAGAGTTTTGGAGAGAAGAAATTACGTTTAGCACGTGAGAGGGCAGAGTCTATGAAATGGGAAGGGTAGCCAAGACGGGAAATTGAATTATGAAGAGTGGAAATTTCTGATTGAAGGAACTGAGGATCACATAAGCGGAGAGCACGAGGAAAGAGGGAAACAAGAACACTTTTCTTGACAGGGGAAGCACGATAAGAAAAGTAGTGAATGTACATGCCACTGTACATAGGTTTGCGGTAAACGGAAAAGGCAAAACCTGTATCTGAGCGGTGGAGATGGACATCAAGAAAAGGAAGCAAGGAATTAGATTCCCATTCAGCTTTAAACTTAATGGAAGGGGCAAGACTATTAAGAGCTTCAAGAAATGGTTGGAAGAGACTAGAGTCATGAGGCCACAGAGCAAAGATGTCATTCACATAGCGGAGCCAGAGTGAAGGTCGCACATCGATGGTACGAAGAACAGTCTCGAAGTATTACATGTAAACATTAACAAGGACAGGAGAGAGAGGAGAGCCCATAGCGACACCGAAGGTTTGAGAATAATATTTCCCTTGGAAAGAAACAAAATTAGAGTCCACACAGAGGCGGATAAGATCAAGAAAGACATCAGTAAGTATAGGGAGATGAAGAAACACTTTATGGCCTTCTCTCTAAGAAAATCAAGGACATCATTCTTTTTGTAAGTGTGACTTTGTAAATGGTTCAACTGGGACCGAAACGTCGTCGTAAGCTCCTCTCTCCTATGTGCGGGTTATTTGTGTGCTGTTCCAGTCACGGTATTGTGCCTTTTTTGTTACTCAGGATATTTATAACAGTAAAAGAGCGTTAGAGAGTTTATAAAGAGTTAAATACTGTACCAGTACTGTACCGGTACTGTATCAGTACTGTACCGGTACTGCACCAGTACTGTACCAGTACTGTACCGGAACTGTATCAGTACTGTACCAGTACTGTACCAGTAATGTACCAGTACAGTACCGGTACTGTACCAGTACTGTACCAGTACTGTACCGGTACTGTACCAGTACTGTACCGGTACTGTATCAGTACTGTACTGGTATTGTACCAGTACTGTACCGGTACTGTACCAGTACTGTACCAGTAATGTACCAGTACAGTACCGGTACTGTACCAGTACTGTACCAGTACTGTACCGGTACTATATCAGTACTGTACCAGTAATGTACCAGTACTGTACCGGTACTGCACCAGTACTGTACCAGTACTGTACCGGTACTGTATCAGTACTGTACCGGTATTGTACCAGTACTGTACCAGTACTGTACCGGTACTGTATCAGTACTGTACTGGTATTGTACCAGTACTGTACCGGTACTGTACCAGTACTGTACCAGTAATGTACCAGTACAGTACCGGTACTGTACCAGTACTGTACCAGTACTGTACCAGCACTGTACTGGTACTGTACCAGTACTGTACCAGTACTGTACCAGCACTGTACAGGTACTGAAGTAACTGGTAACTCACCACTTGCGGCAGCGGCTGCGGCAGCAGCCGCTGCGGTAACAACAGCGTGGGCAGCTGCGGGCGAGTGCGGTGACGGGTGAGTGGCGGTAGTGGCGGCTGCGGCCGCCGCAGCCGCAGCCTCGTGCGGCGTCCAGAGGCCTGAGTTGCGGAGGATACGGTTGATAGATGACACAGATGGCAGTGCCGCAGCTTCACACACTCGCTGGCCAGAAAGTTGTTCGCGGATCTCCCACGCGAACATACCTGGGTTGTCTTGTTTTAAGCGGAGAATCTTCTTTACTACTGTGGGCGTAGCTACTTGCTGTGGGAGTGTGGGGGACGTTGTTAGTGGGAATGTGGGGGAGGTTGTTAGTGGGAATGTGGGGGAGGTTGTTAGTGGGAGTGTGGGAGAGGTTGTTAGTGGAAGTGTGGGCGTAACTACTGCTGTGGGAATGTGGGGAGGTTGTTAGTGGGAGTGTGGGGAGGTTGTTAGTGGAAGTTGTTGGGGAGTGTCTAGTGGAATGTGAGAGGTTGTCTTGTTGATGTGGGAGAATTTTTTATGGAAGTGTGGGCGTAACTACTTGCTGTGGGAGTGTGGGGGAGTTGTTAGTGGGAAGTGTGGGGAGGTTGTTAGTGGGAATGTGGGGGAGGTTGTTAGTGGGAGTGTGGGGAGGTTGTTAGTGGGAGTGTGGGGGAGGTTGTTGGGATGTGGGGGAGGTTGTTAGTGGGAGTGTGGGGAGGTTGTTAGTGGAGTGTGGGGAGTTTGTAGTGGGAGTGTGGGGAGGTTGTTAGTGGGAGTGTGTGGGAGATTGTTAGTGGGATGTGGGGTAGGTTGTTAGTGGGAGTGTGGGGAGGTTGTTAGTGGAGTGTGGGGAGGTTGTTGGAGGAGTGTGGGGGAGGTTGTTAATGGGAGTGTGGGGAAGGTTGTTAGTGGAGTGTGGGGGAGGTTGTTAGTGGGAGTGTGGGGGAGGTTGTTAGTGGGAGTGTGGGGGAGGTTGTTAGTGGGAGTGTGGGGGAGGTTGTTATGGGAGTGTGGGGAGGTTGTTAGTGGGAGTGTGGGGGAGGTTGTTAGTGGGAGTGTGGGAGCTTGTTAGTGGTAGTGTGGGAGTAGTTGTTAGTGGGAGTGGGGGAGTCTCTAGTGGAGTGTGGGGGAGGTTGTAGTGGGATTGTGTGGGAGTACTGTTAGTGGAGTGTGGGGGAGGTATGTTAGTGGGAGTCGTGGGATGGTCATGTTATAGGAGTGAGGTACTATTACCTACTGCTACTATAACTATTACACTACTAACCTACTCCATATCTACTACACCTACTACCACTACTACTACACCTACTACCACTATTACTGCTACTACTACACCTACTACCACTACTACTACACCTACTACCACTATTACTACTACTACACCATACCACTATTACTACTCTACCACTTTATACAACCTACTACCACTACTACTACTACACCTACTACCACTATTACTGCTACTACTACACCTACTACCACTACTACTACACCTACTACCACTATTACTGCTACTACTACACCTACTACCACTACTACTACACCTACTACCACTATACTGCTACTACTACACCTATACCGCTACTACTACACCTACTACCACTATTACTGCTACTACTACACCTACTACCACTACTACTACACCTACTACCACTATTACTGCTACTACTACACCTACTACCACTACTACTACTACACCTACTACCACTATTACTGCTACTACTACACCTACTACCACTACTACTACACCTACTACCACTATTACTGCTATACTACACCTACTACCACTAACACTACACCACACTATACACTACTACGCTACTACACTACCTACTACCACTACTACTACACCTACTACCACTACACTACACTAACCACTATTACATACTACCACTACTACTACACCTACTACCTACTACTACTACACTACTACTACCACTATACTTACTACCACTATTACTACTACACCTACTACCACTACTACTACTACTACACCTACTACCACTATATACACACTACTACCACTACTACTACACTACTACTACCCTATTACTGCACTACACCTACTACCTACTACTACTACTACTACTACACTTACTACCACTATTACTGCTACTACAACACTACTACCACATACACAGCTACTACCTACTACACATACTACCACTATTACTGCTATTACACCTACTACCACCACTACTACTACTACTACACCTTACTACCCTACTCACTACTGCTACTACACCTACTACACTACTACCACTTACTGCTACTACACCTACTACCACTATACTACCTACTACACTTACTGCTACTACACTACCTACTACCACTACTACTACTACTACTACACTTACTACCACTATTACTGCTACTACACCTACTACCACTATACTACTACTATTACTACACTTACTACCACTATTACTGCTACTACACCTACTACCACTACTACTACTACACTTACTACCACTATTACTGCTACTACACCTACTACCACTACTACTACCACTACTCTACCACTACTACTACTACTAAGCTTCATAAAACCACAATGACTAAGAAACACACATCTTGGCGTACAGTAGTGGCTGACTGGTTAATTAATGAGGTTTCAACCCTATCAACTACGCTATGATCATTAAGGCTGCGTGTCACCTCTAACACATGCGATAATTTAATCACCAACTTTAGGTATTAATGTAAAATGTTCTTGTGCTCCCTATTATACCTGATCTTACAACTGTGCGTGTGTGAGGTTTGCCTTCTTACTATTTTCATTCTATTTCTATTCTTAAGATTATTTTAGATCCAGGTACACTTAAGTCCCATTATTATACATGGTGTAAACTACCTGGCATAACCCGTAAAAAAACAGAAAAAGTGACTTATTGCTATTGCTACAAGTGTACATAAGTAGTTACAGAAATCTGGATAATCTCCATTATCTGTTTGGGGTTTAATTAAAGGGCCACTGACAAATTGCGCCGTATCGAACTCAGCATTTCGGTGTCCGGGTAACAAACCCTATGTTTTTACAGAGGCCAGAACACAACACTGATGAACTTTTCCCGTCATTGATAATTCCAGGTTGCGCATCAGCGAGGGACATAACAAATTAAAATAAAATCAATAACCACAGGAGGTTGAAAGAGTTTTAAGTTCATTTTTTTTTGCAGTGGTTTGGATGACATGACGGTAACGGGAGGTCTTTCACCAGTCTTTTTAAGTTGCCTTTAATAATTACTTAGGGAGGACCTCTCGCGGCGAGGCTCGACAACCTGCTAATAGAAAACGGGATGTTGTGCTCAGTGCTGCTCTCTAGGAGGAATCTTGTTATTAATTATTGATCTGAATGTGTATTCTTTCACTGTGGCACCCTGGATACAAGGGGTCGATGCAGCAGTTGTAAGCAGTCTTGTATGACATGTTTTAAGTGATAATTTTTATTCGTGTTCCGTAGCTCGGTTGGTAGCGAACTCAGCTTATACAATGAGGTCCGTGGTTAGATCTCAGGCCCGGTGGCCTGGTGGCTAAAGCTCCCGCTTCACACACGGAGGGCCCGGGTTCGATTCCCGGTGGGTGGAAACATTTCGACACGTTTCTTTACACCTGTTGTCCTGTTCACCTAGCAGCAAATAGGTACCTGGGTGTTAGTCGACTGGTGTGGGTCGCATCCTGGGGGACAAGATTAAGGACCACAATGGAAATAAGTTAGACAGTCCTCGATGACGCACTGACTTTCTTGGGTTATCCTGGGTGGCTAACCCTCCGGGGTTAAAAATCCGAACGAAATCTTATCTTATCTTATATTAACATGTGGAAACATTGGGCCGTGTTTTCTTAAGATACTTGCTGTTCTTGTTCACTTAGCAGTAAAATAGGTACCTGGGTATTAGCCGACTGGTGTGGGTCGCATCCTGGGGGACAATATTAACCTAAGTTTCCGGAAATGCTCTGCATAACCAGGGGTTTTCTATATATGTTACTGATGTCAGCTATGGTCTTCATAAGTTGTAACATATACTTACAGAAATAAATATTTTTATTAATATTATTAAGGAGTTCTGAAGGCTCTAAATCTCTAAATCCACAATAAGTATCCAGTTCTGTTAAGCTCCACGCTTAAAGAACAAAAAAGGATAATATTGTGACTGGAACAATACACAAACAACCCGCACATAGGAGAGAGAAGCTTATGACGACGTTTCAGTCCGACTTGGACCATTTACAAAGTCACAGTGACAGAGAGAATGAGTGAGCCAGTATATATAGGCGATGGGGGGACAGGGACGGGACCAAGAGAGGAAGAAAAAGTAGTGATGGTAATGCTGGTAGTGGAAGTAGTAGTAGTAGTAATAGTAGAAAGTAGTAGTAGTAGTTTATTACCACAAGAGGTAGAAAGGGGAGTGAAAGGAGGTAACAGTAGTAGAAAAGGTAGAAGCAGTAACAGTAGTAGAGGAGTGATAGTAGTAGGAGTAGTAGAAGTCTGGTACGTCTAAATACAAGAAAAAGGAGTACTACAGGAGATACTGCAGGAGAGCTAAGAGTCAGGACCAAAAACACGAGAAAAAGTGAAGAACAGAATACACTAGGCACAAGGAAGGAAAAAGGAAAAACAAAGAAATAAAGACAAATAGGAAAGGGAGAAGAAGTAGGGAGAGAAGAAAGAATCATGTCAAGTCACGAGTATTCTAAAGTTTGTAGCATTTGATAAAGGAGATAGGAAGGCATCTACAGAGACAAAGGCAGAACTAAGATTCATACAAAGCGGTGTACAAGGGATGTTTCAATAAGACGACGGTTGTGAAGACTAGGACAGGGATAGACAGTTTCGGCAGAGGACCAGTCTATACGATGACTATGATCTCTAACAAGACAGAAAAAGCTACAGTGAGACAAAACTTTTCCAGAATAAAGGTTCCCAAATATTGCTCAAGTGTCTCATTTATCAAAGTTCGATGAAGCCTTTGAGAATTACAGAGGTGAGAAAAAAAAAATACCAAGAAAGGGGGTGAGAGTTTGGCCAGCCAAGAGACAAGAAGATGAGAAACAGAACTTCTGGAGGATTTAACGGGACGTTGTGGTACATCTGGTTTGTGAGTTGTAGGAAGAACATAAAAAAATAAGGCAGAGAGGGACACATAACACGAAAACACTGAACAAGGTCAAAGTCAGGAGGACAGAGATCGAAGTTCGAAGTTCAGTGCTAAAAGTTCTATTGATGCGAGAGTGTAGGTAGGTGAGTCAGTAAGCAACTGATATATACTCATTACAATATCAACTGACATACCTGGAGTATACCTGGAGAGGGTTTCGGGGGTCAACGCCCCCGGCCCGGTCTGACACCAGGCCTCGTGGTGGATCAGGGCCTGATTAACTAGGCCGTTACTATTGGCCGCACGCAAACTGACGTACGAACTGCAGCCAAAATTTGTACTGACTCACTACAATAACAATTGACATATACTCGCTACAATAACAGTTTACTCACTTGAATATCGAATTGTCTTTGTCGGTAGAAAGAATAACAAAAGCGGTATTAGATAGTCGGACCGAAACGTCACAAGCCATTTACTTTCTATGCGCAGGTTATTTGTGTATTGTACTCTATACCCACCTTAGGCTTACTGCCACCTATGGATCCCGGCTTGATGGACCCTGTCTCGTAGAACCTGGTGAGAATCTTGGAGACACAGCCGTGGGAGACCAGCAGCTGTCTGGAGATGTCACACGGGCGCACTCCCATCAGCGCCATCTCTACAATGCGTCGACGTACGTAATCCGGCAAGGGACGTCCGTTGACGAACACTCCTCCGAGCTGGTTGACCCCAGCCTGACCTACAGTGAAGAATAAGGGAGAAGTGAGAAAGAGAGAGTACATGCACGAGAGTACATAAGACAGAAACAGACGACTTGGAAGTCCTCGCTGAGAACTCTCTCCTTTATATCTACATAGAAGAGTACCACATAACATCCAATTGTTTGAGAGTGAGTAAAGCAGAAGGCTCTCTCCCCACTGCCAACGTGAAGTAGAGAAAAAATATTCCATAAAATTGAAAAGAATACCGTTTGAAGCCGACCAGAAAAGGTATTCTCCATTTATCACTTGGATATCACAAAATGCACCACTGATGAAAGTTTCAAGCCAATAAGAAGACGCATTCTCCAGATATTGCAGGGGAATATGTAATGTAAAAATTGTAACTTAAAAATGGCAAATTTGCATCTAGGCAGCCAAAATTTATGCAATTTTCATTTACACTAAATACATCAGCCGAGAAAGTTTGAACTCATTCCGCAGATGCATTTTTCATAAGTTAGTGAAAATAATACAAACGTTTTGAAATTTAATTAATGAAATTGTATATAGTCGCTACAATAACAACTGACATATACACTGACATATACTAGTTACAGTAACAACTGACATATACACTGACATATACTAGTTACAGTAACAACTGACATATACACTGACATATACTAGTTACAGTAACAACTGACATATACACTGACATATACTAGTTACAGTAACAACTGACATATACACTGACATATACTAGTTACAGTAACAACTGACATATACACTGACATATACTAGTTACAGTAACAACTGACATATACACTGACATATACTAGTTACAGTAACAACTGACATATACACTGACATATACTAGTTACAGTAACAACTGACATATACACTGACATATACTAGTTACAGTAACAACTGACATATACTCTGACATATACTAGTTACAGTAACAACTGACATATACTCTGACATATACTAGTTACAGTAACAACTGACATATACACTGACATATACTAGTTACAGTAACAACTGACATATACACTGACATATACTAGTTACAATAACAACTGACATATACACTGACATATACTAGTTACAGTAACAACTGACATATACACTGACATATACTAGTTACAGTAACAACTGACATATACACTGACATATACTAGTTACAGTAACAACTGACATATACACTGACATATACTAGTTACAGTAACAACTGACATATACACTGACATATACTAACTACAATAACAACTGACATATACTCTGACATATACTAGTTACAATAACAACCGACATATACTTACTGCAATAACAACTGACATATATTCGTTACAATAACAACTGACATATACTCACTACAATAGCTACTGACATATACTCATTACAATAAATGACATATACTCACTACAAAAACTGACTACAATAACTCACTACAATAATAATTGACATATACTCGCTACAATAATAACTGAAATATACTCACTACAATAACTGACATATACACTCACTACATATAACAACTGACATATACTACTACTACAATAACAACTGACATATACATCGCTACATATAATAAACTGACATATACCTCACTTACAATAATAACTGAAATATACTCACTACAATAACTGACATATACTCACTACAATAACAACTGACATATACTCGCTACAATAACAACTGACATATACTCGCTACAATATAATTGACATATACTCACATACAATAACAACTGACATATACTCTACTTACATATAACAACTGACATAAACTACATCGCTACAATAACAACTGACATATACTCGCTACAATAACTGACATATACTCAACTACAATAACAACTGACATATACTGCACTACAATAAATAATTTGACATATACTCGCTACAATAATAACACTGAAATATACTCACTACAATAAACTGACATATACCACTAACAAATAACAACTGACATATACTCACTACAAATAACAACTGACATATACTCGCTAACAATACATAACTGACATATACTCGCTAACAATACATAAACTGACATATACTACATACAATAATAAACTGACATACTACTCACTACAATAACAACTGACATATACTCACTACAATAACAAACTGACATATACTCACTACAATAACAACTGACATATACTCACTACAATAACAACTGACATATACTCACTACAATAACAACTGACATATACTCGCTACAATAACAACTGACATATACTCGCTACAATAATAACTGACATATACTCACTACAATAATAACTGACAATATACTACAAACGCTACAATAACAACTGACATATACTTACTGCTACAATAAAACTGACATATACTACTCACTACAATAACAACTGACATAAACTCACTACAATAACAACTGACATATACTCGCTACAATAATAACTGACATATACTCACTACAATAATAACTGACATATACTCACTACAATAACAACTGACATATACTCACTACAATAACAACTGACATATACTCACTACAATAACAACTGACATATACTCGCTACAATAACAACTGACATATACTAGCTACAATAAAACTGACATATACTCACTACAATAACAACTGACATATACTCACTACAATAACAACTGACATATACTAGCTACAATACAAACTGACATATACTCACTACAATAACAACTGACATATACTCGCTACAATAACTGACATATACTCACTACAATAACAACTGACATAAACTCACTACAATAACAACTGACATATACTCACTACAATAACTGACATATACTCACTACAATAACAACTGACATATACTCACTACAATAACAACTGACATATACTCACTACAATAACAACTGACATATACTCACTACAATAACAACTGACATATACTCGCTACAATAACAACTGACATATACTAGCTACAATAAAACTGACATATACTCACTACAATAACAACTGACATATACTCACTACAATAACAACTGACATATACTAGCTACAATAAAACTGACATATACTCACTACAATAACAACTGACATATACTAGCTACAATAACAACTGACATATACTCACTACAATAACAACTGACATATACTCACTACAATAACAACTGACATATACTAGCTACAATAAAACTGACATATACTCACTACAATAACAACTGACATATACTAGCTACAATAAAACTGACATATACTCACTACAATAACAACTGACTACAATAACTCACTATAATAACTGACATATACTCACTACAATAACAACTGACATATACTCACTACAATAACTCACATAACAATAACAACTGACATATACTCACTACAATAACAACTGACTAAATAACTCACTATAATAACTGACATATACTCGCTACACTAACAACATAACTACATAACGCAACTACAACAACAACTGACATATACTCACTACAATAACAACTGACTACAATAACTCACTATAATAACTGACATATACTCGCTACACTAACAACTGACTACAATAACGCACTACAATAACAACTGACATATACTCACTACAATAACAACTGACATATACTCGCTACAATAACAACTGACTATAATAACGCACTAGAATAACAACTGACATATACTCACACTGACATATACTCGTTAAAATAACAACTGACATATACTCACACTCTGACATATACTCGTTACAATAACAACTGACATATACTCACACTCTGACATATACTCGTTACAATAACAACTGACATATGCTCACACTCTGACATATACTCGATTACAATAACAACTGACATATACTCATCACTCTGACATATACTCGTTACAATAACAACTGACATATACTCACACTCTGACATATACTCGTTACAATAACAACTGACATACTACTCAACACTCTGACATATACTCGTTACAATAACAACTGACATATACTCACACTCTGACATATACTCGTTACAATAACAACTGACATATACTCACACTCTGACATATACTCTGTACAATAAACAACTGACATATACTCACACTCCGACATATACTCGTTACAATAACAACTGACATATACTCACACTCTGACATATACTCGTTACAATAACAACTGACATATACTCACACTCTGACATATACTCGTTACAATAACAACTGACATATACTCACACTCTGACATATACTCGTTACAATAACAACTGACATATACTCACTACAATAACTGACATATACTCGCTACAAAAAGAACTGACTACAATAACTCACTACAATAACAACTGACATATACTCTGACATGTACTCACTACAATAATAACTGACACATACTCACTAAAATAACAACTGACATATACTCACACTCTGACATATACTCGTTACAATAACAACTGACATATACTCACTACAATAACTGACATATACTCGCTACAAAAAGAACTGACTACAATAACTCACTACAATAACAACTGACATATACTCTGACATGTACTCACTACAATAATAACTGACACATACTACAATAACAACTGACATATACTCACTACAATAACAACTGACATATACTCACTACAATAATAACTGACATATACTAGCTACAATAACAACTGACATATAGTCACTACAATAACAACTGACATATACTCACTACAATAATAACTGACATATACTAGCTACAATAACAACTGACATATACTCACTACAATAACAACTGACATATACTCACTACAATAATAACTGACATATACTAGCTACAATAACAACTGACATATAGTCACTACAATAACAACCGACATATACTCACTACAAACCATACCCCCGGCCGGGATTGAACCCGCGGTCATAGAGTCTCAAAACTCCAGCCCGTCGCGCTAGCCACTAGACCAGCTAGCCACAATAAGATTCATCCAACTAGGTATATTTCTACACCATAGGAAGGTTAGCACAGGCACCTCTGTGACCACAAATGCAAGTTTTTACAGACGAATCTCCAGCTAGCGTGGCCGTGACGAACTCTAGCTCAAGTCCCTTCACTGCCGTCAACATGACTTAAGAAATCGTAATGACACGATTGCAAATAAACCATACCCCCGGCCGGGATTGAACAGAGGTGCCTGTGCTAACTTTCCTATGGTGTAGAAATATACCTAGTTGGATGAATCTTATTGTGGCTAGCTGGTCTAGTGGCTAGCGCGACGGGCTGGAGTTTTGAGACTCTATGACCGCGGGTTCAATCCCGGCCGGGGGTATGGTTTATTTGCAATCGTGTCATTACGATTTCTTAAGTCATACTCACTACAATAACAACTGACTACAATAACTCACTACAATAACAACTGACATATTCTCGCTACACTAACAACTGACATATACTAACTACAGTAACAACTGACTTCAATAACTCACTACAATAACAACTGACATGTACGCGCTACACTAACAACTGACTACAATAACTTACTACAGTGGCAACTGACATATACTCACTACAATAACGACTGACTACAATAACTCACTACAATAACAACTGACATATTCTCACTAAAATAACAACTGATACATACTCGCTACACTAACAACTGACTACAATAACTCACTACAATAACAACTGACTACAATAACAACTGACATATACTCGCTACAATAACAAACTGACATTTACTCACTACAATAACAATCGACATATACTCACTCCAAAAGCAATTCGAACCTTCCTCTATGCAGAATCTACCAATGAATCTCATCAAACATATTCGAAAATGTCGCAGGGAAGCCACTCCGCTCTTTACATCAATAGAACGACCGAATTGGCACCTACACAGCCCAGTAACCTTTACCCTGGATTTACTTTTGATAGGTTTCGAGATTTTACCTATTCCCGTAGCCCGATCCTGGTCCAGGCTTGTCTGGTGTTTACTTGGTCAACCCGGATGTTGCTGCTGGTGACCCACTGGCCCATACAACCATCACGGCCTGGTTGATATGGCACTTAGTGAAGGTACATGTCTATGTCACACAGCCCCCGGGGCTCCAGAGACAGAAACTATGACCAGAAAAGAATATTTAAAAAATAAGTTGTATATATGAGCCGAAAGGTTGAAGCCGATCTCAAGAGGCATTCTCAAGCTTGATACTACAGTGTGTCTCCTCTCAGGGGTATCTATCACAGTAATTAAGACTGAGGGACTGATAACTTCACAATTCCTATTGTTTCTAGTATTACACTTTTAATCGACTGATGAAGCCTGCTATACAGGCAGAACATTTCACCAATATACTCAGGTGTTACATACATGTCTTTATTCATCATCTTGAGATGATGAATAAAGACATGAGAGAGAGAGAGAGAGAAATAGATAGCAAGTAACATTTGCACCCGAGAAAACACAAATGATAGTCTCTAGGCACCATGATGGTAATGCTGGTGTAGTAGTAAGTATGAATGGGAGGGTGTTGGTACTTAGGGAAGAAGTTGATATCCTTGGGGTTAAATCTGACTCCAAACTGACCATGAAGAGCCACGTTGTAAATCTTGCAAACAAGGCAGCCAGGAAGCTTACAGCACTTCACCGTATCTCGCATCTGCTTGACAGTAGGGATTGCAAGATTCTGTATGACACACAAGTACGCTTACACCTTGAGTATGCTCATCTTTCTTGGTTTGCCTGCCCCCTCCCTTATCTGCGACTGCTTGACAGAGTAGAGAACAGAGCACGACGTCTCATCTCTCGCCTGGACATCCTAGATAGATCTGTCATTTCAGCAGAGCCTTCAACACAGGAGGGATGTGGGTGGCCTTACTGTTATGTACAAGGTCAACATTGTCAAAGTACCACACTTGGATCCATTTCGAGGACAGCGTGAGGCAAGCTTCTATACCACAAGACTGGCAGAAAGCAGCAACTTCACTCTGGCTGTACCCTTCTCCAGAACATCACTCCATCTGAGATCATTTATCCCTAGGATGACTCGAGTCTGGAACACATTCTATAACCAGATTATTTGGCGTTCTGGTAGCGGGGTGTAAATGATACTTCTTCGGAGGCTTCTTACTTTATTGTTAAGTCATGGTGGGTACACAGGCTTGTGTGTTGTGCCCATGGCCCAGGAGGGCCATGCCCACGAGGGAGAGAGAGTAGGCCTTCTTGTCTGCATGATGAGTGTCGCCAGAGAGTGAGGCAAGGGCAGGCAGGCTGGCGTGCCCACCGAGAGGCCTGGCTACAGAGGGCAGCACCTTAGTGGCGCGAAATATAAACTAAGCTGGCAGACAGCATGGGCTGTCTATGCAGACAGTACAGGCTGTCTACATACGCTCGGCCACCTACCGTGCGTTGTCCCGACGCAACAATACTGGTGGTAAAAGAAAATTGGTCTCTC